GATTCAGAAAGCAAAGTCAGCCACAAGCCCTAGAAGCCAGGCATACACCTTTAATCCCAGCAGCTAGAAGCTAGGAGGTGGTGGTGCACACCTTTAATCCTAGGACTAGGGATTAAGATGTAGACGGATCTCTGTGAGTCCACAGCTACTCAGATCTAAACAAGACTGACCCAGTCCTAAAGAGAAACAGCTCACACAAAGACGATCCCAGCACTTGGGATCACATGCCTTTAATCCCAGCATTAGGGAGGTATAAATAGACAGGAGCAAGGTCTCAGTATCCGGCATTCATTTTCCAGTCACACTGAGGATAAGAAGACATTCAGTCTCAGGATTCTCCAGCAACACTGAGGCAGAAGGTAGGGGTAATAGTGGCCCACTACTTTGCTTTTCTGATTTTCAGCTTGAAGCTTGAAGCCCAGGATCAGTCTCTGGGTCATTTATTTTCCATGCTACGTAGGTTCATACATATAATTAAAAAATAAAATAAGTCATTTGAAATAAAATAAACGTAAATGTTAAGCATATAGAATTGCTCTAGACTCTAGAAAAATTACACTGAATGTGAACTGTAACAGAAGGGAAAGAAGGAACAACCTAATAAGAAAAAAAAAATCAGGGTATATCTTATCTGCTGGAGAAGAAGCAAGTTGAACTAGCTAAGCCTCAGAGGAACATGGTTTTGGAAGTTTATCTCAAGTAATTGATAGTCCTCCTTCCTTTTTTTTCTTGGAATAGCCATAAAAATCATATCAGCTCTGTTTTGCTAAAACAAAGCAAATTCCTAGCAATTGTTAAACTCTGGAAGACCATGAATGGATTCCATTTTACATGGTGATTGGCTTAGTGCCAAACAGACACGTAGCTGTTAGGGACTCGTGCAGTTATAATATTCACTCAGAATGTCATTTGTGCGTTGTGACTCCCAGGAGAACCTGGGTGATACACAGGCTATCGCTATTGTCTTGAAGCTGTGACATCATGCTCTTGAAAGGTCAGGGGGCAGAGTGGAAAACTCCTACTTGTCTGGGGGGCCAGTTTATCCATGTCACTGCTACACATGGTCCATGCCAACCAGGATGGTTTGAGTTGGGGTCATAGATGCCATGACTCGAAGTTCCTGCACACCAGGAATGTGGTAGCCCTCATTCAACAGGAAGAGGGAGGTGGCTAGAAGGAGTTGAGCATCAGGGGCTCGTCCTCTCCAAGCTCCTCTTGCCCTGCCCAAGTGGCTCCAGAAAATCCAGGACAGTGGTTCTCAACCTTCCTTATGCTGGGACCCTTTAATACAATTCCTTGTGTTGTGGTGAGGCCCAACCATAAAATTATTTTAATTGCTACTTCATAACTGTAATTTTGCTACTGTTATGAATCACAATGCAAGTATGTGTTTTCTGAAGGTCTTAGGTGACTGATATGAAAGGGTTGTTTGACTCCCAAAGGGGTCATGATCCACAGGTTGAGAACTTCTGATCTGGGACATTGTTTTGCTTTACTTGACTACGAGGTCCATGGGAGGCAGGACAATGAGTCTGCATGGCTGGTAATGCATTCAAGCCCAGGCTCCAAGCTCTGCCTCCAGCAGACTTTCAAGAAGCTCAGTTAAATAAGTGGACAAATGTCAGCAGAGAAATAAAACACAACCCATGCCGGAACCAAGCTGAAAATAGCAAATGTTTGTGAGGACACAGAACAGTCGGTAGTCTTGTGCGCTGTGGGAATGTAGGGTGACGCCACAGCTCTGGGAAGCCAGAGTGGAAGATTTCTTAGGAAAACAGAAGCTGAAGGCGGAGCTGCTATCTGACCCAGCCCACTGCCAGATATCGTCAACTTGACAAGATTTAGAATCAACTAGGTATTCGTGTGGAGAGAGTTTCTAGATTGAATTGAGGTGGGAAGACTTGGGCTAAATGGGAGTGGCACCATCCCTTGGGCTGGGGTCCAGGGTCCAGTGAAAAGGAGCAAGTGAGTTTCACCTCTGTGAACACCTCTCCCAGCCCTGCCCTCCATGGTGGAATGTATCCTTTGCAAATGTGAGTCAAAGAAACCCTTATATTTCTTAAATTGCTTCTTGCAAGGTATATGATCACAGCAACAAGAAATTTTGGGGGTTGAGGGTTGGGGGAAGGGTATCATGATAGTTTAGGGATACACATGAAGCCTTCTCTCAGGTCAGCTGGGATGGAGAGGGTGGCTATGAATATGGCCACAGAGAACACATGCTCTCATTATCAGAATTCAATGAGGCCTGGGCTTCCAAGTCACTGCTGATGTTGTGCCTTTTTCTTGGCTTCCTCTTACTATCTGTACAAACAGCCGGAAGCATCTGTTGAGTTCTTTGTCTGGGCTGGATTCTGGGCTCAGGGAGACTTAGGACCGACAGTGAAGTGTCACAGATGAGTGGAGAATTCCAAACATTCAGAACACACAGACTGAGATTCTAAACCTCCATGGACCATCTCACCGTCTCTAACCTAGCAAGACGGGTGCTTGTAAGTAAATTGCAGTTGACTTCTTTGAAATAACTGCTCTTGTTGATGTGTGAGGGTGCCTGACTCGAAATTCATCCACTGTGGCTGTCACATGGGGTGTTCCCTGCTATCCAGTGTACTGCATTCTATTCCAGGACAAAGCAACCTTCCCAGTTCCTCTCAGAACTGCAATTCCTCGCTTACTCTCTGGTTCCTCATGTCTGTTCAATAAAGTTCAGATTTCTTAGAGGCACAGACCAAGGTCTCCTGGTCCGTTTGTCCCCAAATCTCTCCAGAACTACCTGCTTCCAGCTGCCAGTGTACGGGACCCTTCTCTTGGAGAGGCCCATCACGCTCCCTCCATGGTGGCTAACACTTTAGTACACTCTTGCCTTTGTTGGAGTTTTCCTTCTGCACACACAGTGGAGACTTCTGGAAGTCCGGGTAGGAGGGCTTGTAGAGAGCCATCTTCCTGGGACACAATCTTGAAGCAGTGTTTATTCACCCTTTTGCTGGATAGGCCAATTGACCTTCTCCAAGGGCAGCATGAGGACAGGCAGATCACAGGAGCTGGAAGACACAGTCTTGCCACTCCCTTGGAAGAGCCATGTGATGACACATGACTGCCCACCATGGCTCATGCCTGCTGTCTGTCTCCTTTGTGATGGCCACCCTCAACGGGAGGATCCTACTCCGTCCCTGCTTTTACTTTCCCATGGTCTTTCCTGAGACTCCTCATATTGCAGGTGTTTGTGGGGGGTCTGAACTCCCTTCACACATTGTAACAATAGGAGTGTGTGCCCAACCCTTTCTGAGGTTTCATCTCTCAGCAGCATCTCCTTTTGGCTGTAATTTGAAAGAAAAGGGGTCACTCTACTTGTTTTTAGAAGATGGCCATGGAGAATATTTGCTTTAAAATGCTGGCTATGGTATGGTTCAGTGGTATCACCCTTGCATAGGACACCATTGTCACTAAGTAGACAGTTCAGTCTTCACCATCCCAAGAAGGAGGTGCTCATTATACCAAGGGACCACCCAGGAGGCATTAGGCTTGGTCAGGAGGTGGAGATTGGGGGGTAAGCAAGGAGGGGCAAACAGGCCTCTCTTACTTGCCACAGTTGCCTCTCCCTCAAGGGTAGAGCTTTTCTTTCTCTTTTTTTCAGTTGTTCTTTCTTCTTTCCTTCCTTCCTTCCTCCCTCCCTCCTTCCCTCCCTCCCTCCCTCCCTCCCTCCCTTCCTTCCTTTCTTTTCTTTCTTTTTTGAGACAGAGTTTCTCTATGTAGCTCTGACTATCCTGCAACTCACTCTGTAGACCAGGCTGGCCTTGAACTCAGAGATTCACCTGTCCCTGCATCCCGAATACTGAGTGTACCACCACCAATGCGTGGCCCACATTTCTTTCTAGGTGTGTGGCTGCTGGTCATGGAGAGGTCAGGGCAGAGCAGTCTGACTGAGAGTCTGACAAAGGCAGTGGCCACATGTGGACTCTGGGATGGCTAGTTTTCCCAGGACAAGCATGGTCAGCAGGGAGTTCCTTCCTCTTCCTAGGGACTGGCTTTCCATGGTTGGATTGTCCCTTAGGATCAGCAAGGCCCCTTGTGTTAAGCATCAGAACAAAGAATGTTAAGAGCAAAGGGAGTGCAGGCCTTGATGTTTGGACATCTGCTGTGTGACACCCAGGCTGCGCTCAGGTGGCTCTCAGTCCATGTGCTTTCCTGGTGCCTGGCTTCTGGTGTCATTCACTAGAGTTGATCAATAAGGGTTGAAAGAGGGTTTCAGGCAGAAGACTCCTGAATGATAAAGGTCTGGCTTGCCATCCTCCAGTGTCCTGAGAGTGCCGGGCTCTCATGTGTTTTTAAGCACAATGCCCCCATCCCAAAAGGTACACTTGACCGTGGAGCCTGTGTTCTCCTAGCAGGGGTCTGCCGTGTTCTGGGCACAGCACCCCTCCAGGTGACTGGCTCCAGGAAGGTTGGACAGCCTTTCCTACCAGCCCAAGGAAGTGCCCATGCTGCTGATCCACAGATATATCTTGGAAATCATTAACATCTCTTAGTCTGACTTTGGTTTGGGGCACTTTCTGACAGCAACTGCTGAGCCACTGACTATGGGCTCCTCACAAACAACTAAGAGACTGGATATTTTTTAAAAAAATTTATTTACTTTATATGTGTGAATGTTTTGCCTGAATGCATTTATGTGCATTTAGTGTCTATGGAGGTCAGAAGTGGGCCCTAGATCCCCTGGAACTGGAGTTATGGGTGATTGTCAGCAACCAGGTGAGTGCTGGGAATTGAACCCACGTCTTAACTGCTGAGTCATCTCTCCATCTAGGATAACAGAGAGGGGTTTTATTTCCAATTCCATTTCAAGGTGAACTTGAGGCTTGTGGGTCTGTGCCTCCCTTGGTCACTTGGGGGCTGGAGGGGGCTGGATGTGGGCCCTCCTCCCCAAGGAGTGCTGTCCCTCACATATGGCCTCCGCCGCAGAAAGACAAAGAAAGATGCAGTGAAGAACCTGGGCTGTGTTTTCAATGCAAAACACCCTCTGGCTCCAAAAGCAGGTAATTTTGCAGGGTCTCAGGTAAGGGGAGCTGGGGCACAAGGTGAAAGCACTTCTTGCCTAAGAGTTTTCGGATGGCACAGCGGCAAAGGTGCTGCAGGCAACGCGGGGTGTGTGCCAAGGCGAAGAAAGACCTGTAGAAACGCTCGTGCATCTAGAAAAGAAAGGCGAGGGAGAGTGAGGCAGTGTCTGGAACTAACAAACATTCTTCCTGGCAGGAACACTGCTGGCTCATGCCATCCTGTGGTTCATAGGTGCCCGGCAGACACTGCAGAGGGAAAGTGCTGTCACCTGAGATCTGGCCTCCACTCAGAGTTCTGACATGTTTTTCCATTATGTCAGAGGGACAGGGTCGGGCATGATTTCCTGCAAGCCCTTTCTGTCCTGCCCCTGGCACAGCAGCCCTGCAGCTCCAGGGGTGGCCCCATCAATGCGAAGCAGGCCAGACAAGCCGTCTCTCTGCAGCAGTGGGCTCAGGAGCCATACAGAAGGCCATCATCTCATGGCTGTGTAAGTCATTCACTAGCACACGCAGTGAGACCGCAGACACTGTTTCCTGGGAGCATCTGGAAGTGGGTGTTCTCCCTGTTTGTGATCAATGGTTGCCTGTGGGCTCTGTCGTGTGTGGATGTATGCAGTGTTCACAGCACCACAGCTCACATGCCATAATCTGCACCTGCTACGCATGGCCAGGTGGGCATGCCTGGAAAAGGAGCCAGAGCCTGCAGCTCCCTTGCCTCCTTCCTTTCTGGCATGCTGGCTCCCCGAGCCCCAGCACTGTTAAAGCCCTCACGGGATGGCCATTTGTTCCCCATGTCCAATAGCACTTCACGACTGTCCCTTCGTGAACACAGAGGACTGGTTCCACAACCTCTGAGGGTACCAAAATTCACAGATGGGCCAGTCTCTTATGCAGAGCAGCCTCATGTTTGTGCCAAACATACACAATTCTCCTGTTTACTCTCAAGCACCTCCAGATTACCCATAATGCAACTATGTAAACGCTACCTAGAGGGGTTGTCGTATGCTGTGATGTTTAGAGAATTATGACAAGCGATGAAGGTGTCTGTAGTTTGGAGGGGGCAGATCCAATTTACACCCAATATTTTTGACCTGTGGTTGGTTGACGCTATAGGGGTGGTGCCCTCAGATCACCACCCAACTGTCCTGTCTTCCTTCTTTGGATGTTTTACTTCCTGGGTTTGAGTGTAAAACTAGAGACAGAGAGGGCCTGAGTTCTGGAGTGTCAGGGATGAGACGTCTTCTCACCTGGTACACCTCTTCAGGGATCGCCTCCTGCCAGGACTCAGAAACACAGAGCTGGGTGTAGGAGTTGAACAGAACTTCAATGACAGCGGGCACCTGTGCACAGGTCCTCAGCACCTGGAGGGAAATGGGGAGGCATGATGCAGGGTGTCAGGCTTGAGAGCCGAGGGGAGAAAGGCTGGAGATGCAGGCATGGTCTAACATTTCATGTCTGCCACTCCCTGGCTCTGTGACCTCAAAGGCCCAAGACACACCACACAGAGTGATGATACCAGAACACCAGTGTTTTCAGTGAGGCAGAGGCTCTTCCAGGAAGCCCACTTCCTCTGGATGGCTACCTGTGCAGTCAGGGCTGGGGCTTTGTAGTCAGGTGGTTTAGGGGTTGGGGTAGGCTGGGGGATGCTTAGGGGATGACAGCCCCCTTCCTCAGCGGAGCTGCTCAGAGCAAATGAAAGCAGTTCCATGGGCAGTGTGGCCTGGGGATTGTGTTCCCAGTTTCCCATGGCTTTGTGTGTCTGTGTGTGTGTGTGTGTGTGTGTGTGTGTGTGTGTGTGTGTGTGTGTGTAAGGTAAGAATAGAGGGAAAGACTGTTTTGCTGTTGTCTTTCCACTTGGAATGGCCCTTGCATTTTATTTCACAAATCCAACAGAAAAAATATTTTTTATTTACTTTTAAATACTTAGTTTTATTTTGACTGTGTGTCTGTGTCTGTATGTACATGTTTTAGTCGGGCACTGGTGCCACACACCTTTAATTCTAGCACTTGAGAGGCAGAGGCAGGCAGATCTCTGTGAGTTCTAGGTCAGCCTGGCCTACACAGTGAGAGCCAGGACAGCTGGGGCTACATAGTGAGACCCAGTCTCAAAAAAAAAGAGAAGATTTATTACTTATGCAATGTGTGTGTACCTGGATGAGTAAATGCACTCCATGTGTCTGCCTGAGGAGGCCAGAAGAGTACATCTGGTTGCCTGGAGCTGGAGTTACAGGTATTGTAGGGAGCCTAATGTGAGTGCTGGGAACCGAACCTGGGTCCTCTTGAAGAATAGCAAGTACTATTTTCTGGGTAGACAAACATTTTGGCAGCTACTCTTCTTTCACTTTTGGTATTAATATTTCTTACCTGAAAATTATTACCTTGGCTATAGTCTTATGTTTTGTGTTAAAAACATTGATAGTTGGCACAATCATCTTATTCCTAATTTTTGTTTGGTTTTGGAGATAGCATCTCATTATGTAAGCCTAAATACATGGATTTTCTGTTAAATCTTTTTAAAAAATGATTTATTTATTTTATGTACATTGGTGTTTTGCCTGCATGTATGTCGGGTGAGAGTGTTGGATCCTCTAGAACTGGAATTACAGATAGCTGTGAGCTGCCATGTGGGTGTTGAGAATTGAACCTGGGTCCTCTGAAAGAGCAGCCAGTGCTCTTAACTGCTATGTCATCTCTTCAGCCCTTCTTTTAACTTCTTAAAATACAAAATTTCAATCCTCTTAGTGAGTAGACAATTGTTGGAATTAAGAAGACATAGTAGTTGTTTAAAGTTTTTTGTTTGTCTGTGTTTGGTTGGTACCTACATTTTCTTGGTAAACAATCTCCATTTTAGAGAATTTTAGTGAGCAGATGTGAACGGCCACAGGCAGGGCAAGACTGAAGGGCATCACCACGCCCTGTAAGGAGGCCAGCTCTATAACCCAGCACAGGGTGTCTGGGGCAACTGAGGGGATGAGACAAGGAGGGATTTCATTCAGAGGTGAGTGGTGAGAAGCTTTTGGAAGAGATCATGTTCCCATGAGTCCAGAGAGAGGTGGCAGTCAGAGGTCCACACTCCAAGTGGCAGTCTGCAGGAAAGAAAACTTCTTTTTCATGCTTTTTCATCCTCTTGGTGGCTCTCCTTAGTCTTCTGGGCCATTTTCTCATCTCCATATTTTGTTTTCAAAGAGGGATGTCCTTCTCTTCATTCCTGTCCCCATCTCTTTTCTCTTGTCTTTCATCCAGTTTCTCAGCCTTTGATACCATCCCCATGCCACTGGTCTACAGGCTTTTTGACTCTCTTGAACTCTGGGCTTAGATATCCAATGGTTTCCTTCAGATCCCCACCTTGTCCAGTCCTAGACCAGATGCCCTGAACTCTTAGTTTCCTGGGTCACACACCTGCTGCCCTGGCCTTGTCCTTGACCGTCTTAGCTGATGGCAGCGGAGCCTGACGCCAAGTGAAGCCAACAGCAGCTGTAGGTTGACCGAGGTCTCGGACCAGTGGCTTCGGAGTCAGAAGGAGACAAGATGGTATGGATTAGGTGCAGGAGGTAAGCAAGAAGGGAGGAGACCTGGCTTCTTTTCCCTCCATGCTCAAATTATCCACGGAGCACAGACTGGCTAGGTCCTCTCTCTGGCCACTCGGGATGCAGAGCAGAATCAGGAGCAGCAAGGAGGGAACCGAGAATGCACAGGCAGCGTGAAGGGCATTCTGTCTTTAGTCTGTGCGGGAGCCCTTTTTATTGCTTGCTTCTCTTCATATCCTTCTGTTGACCCCTCTCAGCCTCTCTGTCCTCACAGAACCCAGAAGCCATGTCTTCACTTAGCTCTCAGCTCTTCTTCCAGGTGATCTGCTGAGACACAGTTCTTCCCTATTTCCCAGATGCTGTACTTTTTCTCTTTTTTGCTGTTGCCTGACCCTGGGAACCCATCAAGCTTTTATTCTTGTGTGTGTGTGGCTCATGCACAGGAGTACATGGGTGCTCATGTCTGTGCCTGTGCATGCAGAGGCCAGCATAGCACACTCGGTGTCTTCCTCGGTTGAATTTTGAGTTACTGCCTTGGGACATGGTCTCACTCAACTGGCAGCATACAGTGTGGGTTGGGTTGGCTACCCAGGGTAGTTTAGGGATCTGCTTGCCTCTCTCCCCACCCACAGTGCTGGGGTTACAGGCTGCATGCAGCTGTGTCTGCTATTTTTACATAGGTTCTGAAGATTCAAACTCAGATCCTTATGACTGCAGAGCAAGCACTCCTAGCACTGAGCCATCACGCCAACTCCAGGTCTCATAACTGCAGAGCAAGTGCTCCTAGCACTCCAGCTGCCTGCCCAATGTTCCTGGCGAGGTCTGCCTGGCTGTCTAGACATTCACAGCCTAAACACTCACAGCCCCACCATAGATGGATGCTAATTGAGAGGTGACCATTCTAGTGCTGCCCCGGGCTTCCTTTCTTGTTCCCTTCCTTTCTTCTCTAGTTTCTGTTTCCAAAGACATCTTTAAGAAGACAGAACCACTGCTTTTTCTAGTCATCCTATTGGCATTGCAACTCTACCATTTATTTTGTGTATGCCCATGTGCCCACTGTGTGTGTGTGTGTGTGTGTGTGTGTGTGTGTGTGTGTGCAGGTCTGTAGACAACTGAGATAGTCTGTTCTCTCCACCACGCGGGTCTTGAACTCAGGTTGTCAGGGTTGTTGGCAAGCACCTTTACCCACTGAGTCATCTCTCCAGGTCCATATTGCATAGTGAGAATATACTATCACTGGTCCATTTCTTGCAATGAAATGACCATCATCAAGTCAAGCTTAGGCCATTTTCAGAAAAGGAGACAGAACAGAGTGGGCTGCAGCTGGCGGGCTCTGCGCTAGGAGCACCTCCCTACCTCTTCCAGCCAGGCGAGCCCTTGTCCCCTCCAAGATGCTCTTTACTTGTTGATATTTCTGGTGTCTTCAGTCCTAGTCCTAGGCCCTCACCTCTCATTCCTTCACTCTCTTCTCTGCTGGGGGAAGCTAGCCCCCAGTCTCCTGCTTCCCAGGTGCACTCTGGTACTTTCTGCTTCCTAAGGCCATGCTACCGCTTCCCCCAACCCTGCTCCTTCCCTGCAAACGTTAAATGGCTCCCAGGGACTGCATGCTACACAGACCTCCCCCACCCAGGGTAGAAAAGAGCTGCCCTCCCCTAGAGCCAACCCCTCCCCCACCCCGGGGTCATAGACTGTGACAAAGTCTTATTGCCTGTCTCCAGGAATTCATTTTCTGTCTCTCCCTCTGTTCCACCTCTCTGGGGCTCCCCGCCCCTCCCTAGCCCCTCAGCACCGTGCCCCTCGTGTTTGCCAGGCAGCTGGCTGCCTTCATTATTTTTACGCCAACACAGTTTAAAAATCTCCGCTGCCTCCTTGCTGTCTGCCGAGAGGCGGCTGCCACATTACTCTGACACGTTGATGTCATTAGTGTCCAAGCGCACGCTCTTCAGCTAATGAGGCGGCAGAAAGAAAATTAAGGGGAAAAATCACACAGGCACATTGCTTTATATGTAGATGGAGAAATAAAAGAAGGGTAGGAAAACAGAGGAAAGCTTCCTGACGGCTCCCATCCCTCCTCCCCTGGAGACACTGCTGCACAGCAGGCAGCCAGGGAAACGGGGCCTGCGTTTTGACCACGGTTCTGCAATCTCCTGCTCAAATCTGGTGAAATTGCGGTGAGTGGCTGAAGTCACTTTGCCTAATTCCGAATTAGGCACAAAACAAGAAATCAGGCGGCTGTGGTTCCAGCAGCATCAACAGCCAGGAGTGGTTGAGGCCAGACTGGAATCTGCAGCTGTTTCTGGAATCTTCCTTTGCATTTCTAGCTCTGTCTTCCTCATCTGTATTTTCACAGCACCCAGTGGTTCCCCCTGCTCTCTCCTCCAGTTTCTTCTTCACACTCAAGCAGATTCATTTCAACACACAGATTTTTTGTTAATGTCACCTCCTTCACTTAAAATGATGAACTGGATTTCTATCGTCCTTAGGCAAAAGGCCCAGGCCCTTCACAAGTCCTCCTCAGCTGTTTCAGCATGGGTAGGCGTGTAAGTGTGGGTGTAGGCGTGGGTGGGTGGGAGCTTGCACACATTCCATGCTTGCTCTGTCCCAGGGCATCTGCCTGGCCTGTGCCTGTGGTCTGTCATATTGCCCTCCCCGCCCCAGGCTTTGGCCCTCAGAGCTGGGTTTGCTCAGTGCCTGTTTGAGGTTTTCAATACCCCAGAGTGATGGTTAATTTTGACTGTCAACTTGACAGGATCTAGAATCATCTAGGACACAGATCTCAGGACGTGTCTGTGAAGGAATTTCCAGGCTGGGGTAAATGAGACAGGAAGACCCAC